TCCCAGGCCCTTGCCAGCTCTAATCTTCGAGGATGCAATATGTCTGAGGTAGGGAGAGCAAAGAATGTTGTCCTATGAAAATAGGTGGGGGGACTGGGACCCCCCAAAAGATGAACTGGCCTGCTGAGGGTCACACAGCCAGTTACAGGCCAAGATGAGTTTAGGATCCAGAGTGCTAAACTTCTAGTTTCAGGCCACTCAGCTGGCTCACAAGTAGCCTACCAGTTCTTTAACACCTAGGAAATATCAGAAAGCATTTGCTTTGCACAATGGTGGAAGTACTAAATGGAGATTCCAGCAGCCTTTGGGGCTAAGGGAAGCTTGTGCAGATGCACATATCCTGGCCTTCCTCACTGGCCAAGGTCCCCATTTTCTGCCATATGCCTATTTCTTCTCCCAGAGCACTGATTCCCTCTGGAGGGTGGCCTGAAGCATCCTCACTGTTTGCTGGGACCCCAACAAAGCCATAATCATGAGCAGATACTTCACATACACATACACACACGCACGCGCGCGCGCGCGCACACACACACACACACACACACACACACAGACATCGGACTTTCAAAGTAGCCTGGGCTACTGAGGAGGCTAAGGCCCAGAAAGGCCCAAAGAGAGATTTTGCCAAGCCATCCTGCAATCCCTGGGCAGAAGCAAACTCAGGACTGGAACTCAGGCTTCTGGGCCCCTGGCTTGTGTAGAAAGGAGCCCAAAAACCAGGCAGGTCTCCTGGAGGAAGTATCTGGCTTTACAATCCCAGCCCAGATTCTGCCCAAGCTAATACTGCCACAGAAAAGGAAGGCTGAGGATCTGATCTGTCCCTAGGGAGGCCTTATGAGTTGTCTAGGACATTGGAAGTTTCCAGTGGCTGAGGCACACTCAGGACAGAGAAGCAGACCCCTAGCTCTGGGAGCATGGCAACCAACCCAAGTTGAGGACAGATCCAGATTTGAGGTTTGACTCACCAATTAGTGGCTTTGTGAATTTGAACAAGCAACTTGACCACCTTGAGCCTGTTTACTCATCTATAAATTGAGGATAACGATGGCTGCCCTGTCTTCTTCTCAAGGTTAGAGTGAGATTTAGCAGAGATAATATTAGCTCCCACTAGTAAGCTCATACCGTGGTCCAGGCACCATGCCCAACACTTTACCTGCATCATTACATTCAAGCCTAACCACAGTGCTGAAAAGTAGGCAGAATATCCTGCCCAATGCAGAAACGAGGCTCACTGAGATTGATATGCTGGCTTTCAGGTCTCACAGATAAGTAAATTGTGGCGTCAGGATTTGAACCCTGATCTGACTCAACTTCCCCTGCCACAGAAAGTCCTTTGTTAGTATATAATTATTATCAGATAACATGACATAGAAGCCAATTCATAACCGATTTATTAAATTCCCTTAATTCTGGACCTTGCTGAAGAATGTAAGTCTTCCCTTTGGGCCCCAGGCAAGGGTTCAAGGGCTGAATCGAGGGCTTGATGATGCTTCCTGTGAGACAAGGTTCGACAAACTGTAGCCCGCAACCTGTTTTTATAAATAAAGTTTTGTTAGAACACAGCCGCATCCATTTACTCTTTGTCTATGGCTGCTTTTGTACGACAATGGCTGACCGGGGTACTTGGGACAGAGACCGAAAGGCCCACAAAGTTGAAAATCCTTACTATCTGGTTCTTTACAGAAAAAGTTTGCTGACTCCTGATTTTAGCATTCAAGGAAATGTTCTGGAGATGCAGCTCTGACCTTTGGCTAAAGTCCAAGACAGCAGCAAGGGAAGTCCCTTGCTCAGCTCCCTCTCTGAGCATTGGCCAGTTCAAAGGGAAACTGACTTTTCAAAGGAACCTAGGAGAGGCCCTTCATTTGGGGGTTCCAGAGAAATTCTGGCTGAGTAAGCAGCCCCTTCTAGGGCCAGGAGCACAATATAGTCAATCTTCTCTGCCTTCAATTTGTCAGTTAGCTGGCACAGGCTCACTCTGGTCAGAAAGAAACTTTGGACTGAGAAATTTCAGTTAACCTTTGGGACTGAATATTTTGGAATTATATAAACACCACTTGAGCCAGGTCCTATAGTTCCCTCAGTGGCAGAGAAGCCCAGGCCTGATTATGAGTACCAAGTCAGCCAAGGATTGTGGGAGAGTCTGAAATGTTAGGCTTCAAAGTGGCTATGGCTCATTTTATACCACACCTGGGGGCCTGAAAAGCCATGTGTGGTTTGAATCTATTTGCCTCCCTAATCTCTGTCATTTCAGATGGATTTGAAGCACAGCTGTTTTTCAGGTTCTCTGCCTCCTTTCTACAACATTTAGGTTCAGGACTTATGGTCTAGAAACAGTTAAGTGAACCCCTTTTTTTTCTCTGCATTTTCAAAAACAACCTCCTTCTCTGATTCTATTGTGGCTGGTGAATCAAGATATCGCCAAAGGGTGGCAACCTACATGTCCTGCCTTCTTTTGGTTTGATGTCTAATTATCTTCTGAGAAAGACACCAGCTCTCCTTCCCCTCTTCCCCCGCCCAAAGAGTTCACACTTTCAGCTACCCACTAGCATCCAGTTGACTACATGTGCCCAGAGGACCCTGGTGGCTTCTCCTGCTTCATGTTCGCAGCTCCACTGCCCAGCTCTCCTTCCTGCCAACTTACCCAAATTCAATTGGGCCTTCAGGAGTCATTGTTAGTTGGTCAGCTTCAATTAGCCTTTCTCTAATCCCACCAGTCCACACCATGACGTCCATTTCTATTGCACTTACTGAAAACACCAACATACTTTGTACTTAAGTCTGCTCTCTAATTAGGGGACCTTCTATAGTACCATAGAAAGAGTTTGCATTCTAGAATTCGAAGTCCAGATTCTAGATTCCATTACTGGCTGTGAACCTTTGGGCAAATCGCTTCACTTCTCTGAGCCTGTTTTCTCATTTGTAGAATGGGTATTGTGGTCTGTGTTGCCCAATTGTTAGGGTGATAAAATGAGTTGATAATTTTTTAAAGAGCTCTATAAACTGCTGAAGAGCTACACACTTATAGGTCAGTATTAAGTTGTCCTGCCCTGCCGCTGCCCCCCTTTTCCTTGGTTTCATGTAAAATTAGAGTTTGGGGGGTAATTAGGGAGGTAACAGATGAACCAGCATAAAGCCAACCCACCCCAAAACTCCTTGACTAAAACCAATTACTCTGACAACCAGTTTGCCTAAAAGTCAAATTAGTAATTTTGAAAGAAGACATTTGTACCAATTTTCTTAGGAGGCACTTCCAACATAATGTCATATTTTTAAATTGCTCTGTCACAATCTGTAGCATTTTGTCTATGATGAGATCGTTTTGTATGCTTGTGGATGACTTTTTCTATTTTATCTCCTATCGAGCAGTTTTATGACTTTTTAGCAAGTTTGTCTGAAGACTTCTTAAAATTGTATGTTTTTAGCACTAAATATTTGTCAAATCTGTAGAATTTCCCACAAGATTTATCGAATGCACCTTTTTGATCACCCCCAACTACTTGCTGGGTTTTACTTTGCATCATGTATGCCCATGCACACCTAATGAGTTCATTAACCAAATTAGCATGTACCCATTGTTCTTTACTGTTCTGCAAGGTATGGGCATTTTGACAACAAGCAAGAATAAGTGAGACAGATTGGGCAGAATTGTATTGAACTCTTTGCGTTTTATTTTTCAGGCTATCTCATTCATCAAGCAACTGTACTTTGTGAAACATAAAATGATACATACAAAGTCATTATTAAATGTATTTATTGCAGGAAACATAACATTTTTCAAGAAAGGCAAACTGGTGGCTAAAAAGTCCTCAAAGTGTTCAAAAGTATATAAAATGAGAAGACACCCACCAAGGATACAAAACAATTTTTAGTAGAAATCTCACTTTTAACCAGAATGTTCTTAAATAAATTGCTTTCTAAAAATCCTTTAAATGGCACACACACAAAAATTAGGACACCCAAATAGATGCCAAAGGTTAAAAGTGGACTGAATTTTATGTGAACAGGTCATTAAGCATAGAGATTCCTTTTGGGAGCTTGTGGCCAATTGGTTTGTGGTGATTTGACCTGGAACCCATTTGGAATGCAGGCTTACTCCCATACACATGCAATATGTGGGCATGGAGACAACCATGGACCTCAGGGGACAAGAACACCCCTCCTGAACATGACCTCCAAGAGTAAGGGCAAATTATCAGCTTTAACTCTTTATTATAAAGACATATTTACACAGAACGATCTTTATAAATGTAGTGAACACAATTTTGGAAAAAGGACAATTTCTTAATGAAAAGGGCCTTTAATATTGTATAAATTAGTATAAGAATCATACACAACCACTTTAAATAAGACAGCCCCGCAGTCCCTCATTGCCCTCTGTTGCCCTGTGCTGTCCACTTGTCCCCTCTTCCCCACGGGGCTGGGCAGCTGATGAGGCAGGAGGTGCAGAGAAGAGGATAGGAGAAGGCTAGGCCTCTTGTGGGGATATCAGTGGCAGAAGAGGCTTTCTGGACACTGGCCAGCCCCAACTCTTAGCCTGAGGGGTGTGGGAAGAGGCGGGTGCCCAACCCAGTTCCCTAGGGCAGGCCTTGAAACAGCAGCAGCAGCAGCAGCAGCAGCAGCAGCAGCAGCAGCAGCAGTAGCAGCAGAAGTAAGGGGGAGAGGCAGGTAGGTAACCTTGGGGTTACTGTGGGAATGGGGGGACCGTGACTCCTCCTACCACCACACAAACATAAGTGACCATCAGGCTCTTGTCTCCCATTTTCTCCCTCCTGGGAGATCTCTGAGAAGGAAGCCTGCTCAGACCTATACTTCCTCCCATCTTTCCTCCTTTTCTTCCTCCCTCCCTTCCTTCTTCTCTCCCTCTTTTCCTTCCTTCCTTCCTTCCTTCCTTCCTCCTTTCCTTCCTTCCTTCCTTCCTTCCTTCCTTCCTTCCTTCCTTCCTTCCCTCCTTCCTTCCCTCCTTCCCTCCTTCCTTCCCTCCTTCCTTCCTTCCACCTTCCTTCCTTCCTTCCTTCCTTCCTTCCTTCTTCCTTTTCTTTTTCTTTTCTTTCTTCTTCACCTCCTTCCCCTCTCTCATGGGGAGGCCACTGGGAAAGAAGATCCAGTCAACGTGAAAGAAAGGCTATTGAATCCAATTACTTAAGGCCACCTCTGGGCTCCTGAGAACCAGTGTTGGGGTTGGAATTGCAGTCTTGATGCCTAGCTGCTCCTATGAAAATACCATGAGTCTAAAAATGTTGAAGGAATGGAGTCAGCTAGCCAGTTAAGGAACTTTTCAGCCTAGGTTGGGGAATGAACCAGCAGGGGCAGGCCAGGGAGGCAGGAGCAGCTCCTTCCCCATGCCATCCCTACCCCTGGGCAATTCACAGCCCGCTTGTCTCTTCCCTCTCTGCTGCCCCTAGTCTCAAACCCAAGAAAAGTCACTTAACGTATTTTGAAAAGACATCAGAAGGGAAGAGGACATCATCAAGTTGGAGTTGGGAGAACTGGGTCCTCATTCCAGCTCTGCAATAACCTTGAGCAGGTCACTGTCCCTCATTAGGCCTCTGTTTTTGTGGGAGTTTGCATAAGAATGGAGAGCCTAAGTGATCTCCAAGGTTCCTTTTGGCTCTGAGAGTTAGTGATTCTTGGCAAAAGCACTACTCCTGCTTGGCTTTTCCCTATAGGAGGGTATAGAGCCACCTCAGGCCCAGTGCCCTCCCATCCTGAGATAAAGCTTGAACTACCAGGGGAAGGGGGCAGAGTAAACTGGGGGAAGTGAGACTGGGGGGAGTGTTAGAAGACACAGTAAAATGACAGAAGTGAGAAAGTACTTCATGGCCCCTCTCCTTCACCTCTTCCTTAACCAGGACAAACATGGGAATGAAAAAGAAGCCATACAGCTATTCTTCCTCTTTTCTAATGCTTCAATCCTTCCCTGTCAGACTGTCAACCCCCAACTCCAATGTCCCTCAAGGCAACTTGTTTGCATTCCCAACGGCCCAGTCTCTAACTAGTCTCTCATTGCTCATCTTTGTACTCCTCTCTGGATGCCAGCTGAAGAGTCCAACTGGTACAAAAACCTGGGATCCACTGGAGCCCATCGAAGAAGGGAGTGTTTCTATATAGCCTCCAGGGTAAACCTGAGGAAGGGATGGCTGGATGAAGGGTTGGGGTATTAGGTGGGAAAGATGGAGACTAGAGCAGTGGAAGGGCCAGGGTCTCCAGTTCTTAGTCTCCAAAGTCAGTCCGGGGAAGGGCCAGGAAGAGTGGCTGAATGGATCCTTGGGAGAAAAAGGGAATCATCGAACTAGAGGCAAGACCACACCATTCAGAGAGGCTAGGGGGTGAGGCGAAAAGAGCTGGGACCATCAGCAGCTAGGATGGGTGCAGGATGAGAGGCGAATGGATGTGAGGGCTCCAGAGAAGCAGACCCATCTATGGAGTAGAGAGAAGTGCAGGGAATGGGCACTTGAGGGTCCCTTTAGTCCTAAAGAGACAAAAATGATCGAAGAGAAGTCATTCACATATCCTAGGTCAAAGGAACCATCCAAGAAAGAACAGATAGCCTTCATTTTGTCCCCTCCCCAAAATCCTGAACCTAAAGCCAAAGGCCCCTGAGTTGGTGTCACCCTGTCCTGGCTGCAGGGGGAGACAGCAGGCCAGGCCTTGGGGACAGACATAGGCTCTGCTCTCTCTGCTGCCTTTGATTTTCTCTCTTCCCCATGCTTAGGCAACTCTCTCCCAGTTCTCTGCCTGCTACCCCTCAAGGCTCTCTGCTCCCTTCCCCCTCTTTGGTGAGAATCCACACTGCACACCTGTAGGCATGCTCTGGGGCATATGTTCCAGTTCATAAAGTACCCCCAGGATTTCTAGAACTTTCCAACTAGGCCAACCTGCCCAACCCCAGGGTGGGAGTAGCCAGCATGTAACTCCTGGGGAACGAGGAGATTAGCTCTGGGTATCAAGCCCCTCTCTGGGCTTCAATCTTCTCTTCTGCAAACCGAAGAGGTAAGACAAGTGTTCTGTAATCCCCTATGTTGTGTGTGATACGAGAACTACTTGGGGCAGGTTTCCAGCCAGTGATAAGCACAGGGCCACCCAGCTTCCAGGCTGTTTCCCCTCAACCCCTTCCATGCTGCCCACAGACCAGGAGGCTCAAGTACCTGCTTCAGAAAGGCATGGGGCCCTTATGGGAGAGACGTGGCCGCTGGCGGCGGAATTTTCTCCGACCTCCCTGCCAGGGCCCTGGTCCATTCCTTGACCCTCTGGGTTGCACCAGGTGGTGGATAGTGCCTTCTTTTAGCCCCTTCCCGGCAGAAGGCTGCATCAGGGGCCCTGTAGGAAGGAGAAGCCTGTTAGCAGGGAAGCTGATGCAAATGGGCAGGAGACCAAAGAACACAGGCTCATGGTTGGAGACAATCTCTCCATGAGATGGCATTCATTATAGCTTTCTTTGTTTTAATATAATATCTTAATGAACAATTTGCAAGTTTTACACTGTCCTAGGGCAAATGAAACCCACTCCGCATGTCTTGCAATTTATGGAGCTGACTTTATGCCCTCTTGACAGTTCTATCATGTTCCTGACAGGCACAAACTCATTCTTTGTTTAGAACATCATTGGAGGGGGGCGACAGTTGGGGCATTATGCCTCTACTTGGCTGGGGCACAGCAGGCAATAGCGTCCATTGCAACCAATACACTTAAACCATTTTAAACATACAACGTTTCAGTGAAATGAATGTCTCCACCTCCATGTACCCGTCACCCAGATTCAAGTTATCCAGTGGAGAAATGCGTGATTTTGTTATCCCTTTTCTTTTTTCTTTGTTGAAGTATTTTAAAGCTAATCTGAAACATCATGTCATTGTACTCTTACATCCTTCACTTTGCAGGTAACCCACTTTTGAGTGCTGGAGATCTTGCACCTCACCCCTGGCATCTCATCAATGTGTAAGCATCTCTGGGGCTCATTTCTCCTATGGCCTCTCTGTGGGTGTGACTGGAGGTGTCCTCTGACTCTTATGTGTGCCTTATGCTGGGTTCTACTCAACCTGTAACCAAACTTAGAGATCAACATATATTGCATAAATGAATGAGTAAATAAATGAGTGAATGGTCACCAGAAGCAGCAATTCGGTGCATGAAGAAGGGGTTGGGTTGCTGCAGTTGGTACCTCCCTACTGGATGCCCTATCTCCTTCATCCCCAGATCACACTCCATTGTGAGTCTGATGTAAATTCCTTCCATTTTAAACCCAGTTGGCTTCTTTTCTGCTCTCTGGGGCCCTGTTCTGCCTTGGTCCACATCTAGCTTAGAGTAGAAGCCTTCTGATACCAGACCAAGCCTTGGTGATGGAATCCATGTGGTGCTAGGTATTCCTGGGTGTGATGAGGGAGAAGGCACATGGGTTGGCCCTTATGGAGACTACCGTCCAGCCAAGGCTGGAAGCAGGCAGAGTGAGGAGATGTGATGGTGCTAGACAACAGGCAGACTGGCAGGATATTTGTGCAATGTCTAGTATGGGGCTGGCCTACAGGAATATGGCTTCTGAGGCCTATGATCAGGAATCCCAGTCTCACTTGACATCATCAGATTCACCTTCAGCTGTATCCCTGTCCCTCGAGCTCCTATTCCATCCATCCCGAATCCCCACCACTAGTTCAGTTTCCATATAAGCCCCTGTTGGCTGTTAGCCTGCAGTCAAGCCCCTGAGCCCTGGCGGCTCCTCCTTTCTCTCCTCCCTGCCTCCAGCATCCCCATGCTCTGGCTCCTTCCTTGGCTCCTTGGCACTTGTGACTCCTCCTCTACTTGCATATAATTTCCAGGCATTTATTCTCCTCTTGGGCCAAAAGCAGGTGAGTTTTATCTTTTGAGTCCTCACTGCCCAGGCTCCTGGGGCCTGTTGTTCTCCTCCTAGACATACACAGCTGCCGCACATACACATACTCTTTAGTCCTCCATCCTCCTTCCCCAAGAAAAGTCACAGGTTCATTATGACTCTGCTGTTTACCAGTCACCCTTCTATGCTTCTGGTCAGAGTGGGTTAATACGTCAGCTCCTTCCTTAAACCCATCATTTAATGAGAATTAAAACAGAAATTAAATTTACACTTTGGTGCCATAGGTATGGACAGGGTCCAGGAGGACATTTCTGTCTGTTATAGAGCTACCCTCTTGGTGCTATCAGCAAAGGGGCTGGGCCAAGGAGGGAGATGAGGGAGGGACTTTCACTAAGCTCCCCACTCCAGCTGCTTCAGCTTTTCCCCTGTGTTTCAGGGTCCCCTCAGGTTTCTTCCTGCCTACCGAGGGGGATAAGAATGATGCTGATAGGGGGTCAGTACCAGAGAAATACTCAGGGCAAGAAGGACTGTGCTGAGGGTGTGGCCAGGAAAAGGGCATGACCCTTGGGGCTTTGAAAATGTAAGTGAGACCTTGGTTCTTGAATGCTTGTCAACTAACTGGGGGTAGGGTAGGCATGGGGCAATAGCACAGGCTACGGCCCCAGGAGTACAGCAGGCATGGAGAAGAAAGGCACGGTGCCCACATGGGGGCAAGGGTTGGAAGAAACTATTTAAGTGCACTGAGGATGGCTTCCATCTCCAAATGCTCAGCACCCAGGACTGTGATGGTGGCAGTCAGAGAGGGAGGGCTAGGGGTGAAGAACTGTAAGTGGGCAGAGGCAAAAAACCAGGATAGGGTAAAAGGATGGTGGCTCATACTGGCCAGGGAGACGTCTAGACTCTAAGCTTGAAGAGAAGAACTATCCTGCATTGACCGAGCACTCAGCCAAGCCCTAGAGAGCAGCCACTAAGAAGCCCGTGATATTTTGCATCCCACAGAGTGAGGAGTTCACTGTCCTTGTAGCAAGAAGTCTGCATCTCCCCCCACCCCCTGATCCCATCACCCACCTGTTTCCTACTTTTGATTCTGAGTTTGGCTCACCTTAAGATAAGCTGACACCTGAAACCTAAGCTTTATCCTGTCCAAAGGGACTTTTACAGGTTGATTTTCATCACTGAATAGTTTCTGGCTGTACCAAAGAATCCCCTTTAGAAATGGAAGCCATCCTCGGTGCACTTAAATAGTTTCTTCCAACTCATTTGCTACTTATAGGGAGGTTGGGGCAATTCCCCCCAAAATCTCCAGCCTAGAGGGACTGGAGCCATTGCTCTCTGAAACACCATCAACAATGAAGCTCCAGTATTTCTGCACCGAGAACCATAGTCAGGGGTGAACAGAGTTTGATTTTCAGGCAGCCTGAATTCCAAGCCTGCCAATGCACAAAGAGGTACATGCGACTTTTCAGGAACATGCCAGCCTCACCAGGAATGACATATCTGTTTTTCCTCTAGTCCTCCAGCCTATCTTATGATTGCTTTAAAAGACCACACAACTGCTCTTGTGGAGACCCTGATAACTCCGTCCCCTCCACTGCTCAGGGGTCCTTTGTGTTTCTCCAGGAAGAGGCCTCTTCCTTTGTCTGCCCAGCACCCCAACCCAGTAGCCCTAAGCAATCTTCCCATGCCAGTTTTGCCATTCTTGTAGTAAACAGTATGCTCTGGCAGCCTGTCCCTCCATTTCACTTGCATTAGTCTTTTGCCACCCGAGAGGGCTGACTTAGGTTACATGGGTGCTTAGTACATACAGTTTGGGATTGGAGTGGTGATGCCCCCACTCTGAGTGGAAAGGGTTCAGTAGGCTTCCCCCACACTATCACTGTGACTGTGGGCTTTGAACCGGGGCTGAGAAGGAGAAGAAGAAGGAAAGAAAGAGGTGCTCAGACAATGATCAAGGGACACTTGGCTGTAGTCCAGCAGCTCTCCAGCTCAGAAGAGAAAAGTGTATCCCAGGTCAGGAGGCAGTGGAGGGGCATGTGTGTGCTGGGTGGAAAAGGAGGGACATTCCAAATCAGGACAGAGTGGGTTGCGGAAGAAGCATGGTTTCCAGGCCCAGGTCTTTGACTGGGAACTCTAAATGAGGAAAGCATGCAAGTCTGGGACAAAGGCAAGGTGGTTCTGGGGTTCCTGTTTCTGACTCAAGACAGAAGGCAGGAAGAACAAGATGTGTGTACCTGGACCCTTGGCTGGTTGCCACTTGTACAGAGGTACCCTTCCTCAGCTCCAGGAGAAGTCATGAGGTAGAGAAGGCAATGGGAGCCTTGGAAGTTTCTTGTGAGGGAAACAAATTTACCCAAATCAGAGCATGAGGATGAATGGCCTAATGAAGAAGGGTAAGTTAAAGCAAGAAGTAACAGGGTCTGGGCTAGAAACAGCATTCTCTCTCCATGAAATCAGCTCTCCCTTTTACCAGTATTGCCCTAATAGCTGGACCCCAAAAAGGTTCTAGTGGTGGTCAGTTGGCCAAGGGTCTCCCTGTGGCCTCTGGGGGAGCATCAGGTATGTATATCAGGCAGATCCAGCTTCCTCTGGGATACTCTCTCTGTACTTACTCTTTCTTCCTTGAAAGCATCACCTTGGACTATATGCCAGTAATGGTGTCAGGTGGGTGTCTTGCCAACTGCACTGGATGGTAGGCTTATGGAAGGCAGGCCTGCGTATGTCTTTCATTCATATTTTTTGCTTTCTTCCTGCCATTGCCTTACTGATAGGAGTTTCTGAGGAAAAAGCTCGTTTTCTTACCAAGGAGGTGGCTGACCCAGCACTCGGGCCCTAAGTGAAAGACCACTGAACAGCTAGCAGAAGACAGGTGATGCCAGACCCAGCCAATGAACCTTACTTAGAAGCCAGGCAGTGCTCACAGGGCCAGGGCAGTGTCAAAAAACAAGAACTGAGAGGAAGAGGTCTAAAAAGAGAAAGAAGTGGAGCCCCACGGGGTCCCTCAGAGACTCCTGGGCTGCAGGCCATCCTGCTCTGGAGGATCTGGAACCAAGTGGGTCCCTGTGCCCTTCCTCTAGGAAACTTGCTGCCTTGCCCTCACTTCCCCTCTGCTCCCACTTCCTTGTGACTCCAGCCCTAGCACTGGCTCTAGTCCACCTGGTTTTGGTCTTCCCTTTTGTGGTGCCAGGCAGGCAGCAGTGACAGCCAGATCACAGGACTGTGGCAGCTGGAGGTGGGAGCTGGCAGCCCCAGGAGACACTGACACACAGAGGACAGGCAGCCCAGGTTGGGGCTGCTGGGTCCTGGATGGAGATCAGGTTTGGGGAGGGGAAGGAAGCACCAGTGCCAAGTATGCCAGATGGGAGATGTGGTGCAGATGGGGGCAGAAGGACTCCCCCTCCCTAAACTGTATGGAGGTGTCAGGTCATGTGCTGTTTCCTGGTGTGGGCCTTGAGACAGGTGGACTAAGGTGAAACATGCCTGTGCCTGAGGCAGAGGGGAGGCCTGTGCAAGATATGGAAGAACGGAGTCCCGACAAATTCTGTGGGCCTTTTGTGCAGGAGCAGAACAGACCAGGCAGGACCTTAGGTAAAGGAGGAGAAGACCAGCTTGGCCCAGCCCTGTTCGACTTGGCAAGGGGGAGACTGCCTCTGCTCACATGTAGGCTGAAAGGAGCAACAGCTGGGCTCCCCACCGCCACCCCCACCGCGCACTGCAGCCTATGCAACAAGTGTCATGTCTGCATCTTGGCACATCCTCCCCAGTGGTCTGCGCCTACAGACCCGCCAGCGGTTCCTAACCTTTAGGGGCCAGAAAACCTTCAACGCGGGAGCCCAGACCACCGGGCTCAGGTCAGTTCCCTCCATTGATATACGGAGGGGAGTGGGACATGCTCCCCACCTCCCTCCACCACGTGGGAATCGGGGCACGGGACACCGAGAGCATTTCCTACGGTCTTGAGTTCCTGGGACTGCGAGGGGCGGCCAGGAGGGGGAAGGCAGAGCAGGTGATGCCCGAGGCCACAGTCGGCTGGAACCTGGAGGCGGGCACCCTGTCAGTTGGTAGCCGGGCGCGGCCGGCGTGTGGCTGCTCCAGCCCTGCAGGCTCCCGACTCCAGCAGGCAGAGAGCGCAGGGGTGGAGCAGAGGGCCAGGAGCACAGCAGCGGCACCGGGAGAACTGCGAGGGGAGCGCGGGCGAGCAGGAGACGCGCACTCACCTCCAGATACGGCGATCAGGGAGAGCCAGAGCATCAGGAGCGCCTGCACACACAGCCGCAGATTCATGCTGCTCCTCTAGCCACCGCTGCTGCCCTAGCCAAGGGGGCAGAGAGGCGGAGAGGCCGGGCGCCCGCAGGCCAAGAAAGGCGCGAACTGCGGCTAGTGCGGGCGGGCGCAGAGCTTGCGAGGCTCCCGGGCCGTGCCGCAGGCTGGCTTGCTGCACGCACTTGCCGCCTTCCCTCGCCTGCAGCCTCCCCCTACTTCCCGAGCGACGCCGCCAAGCTGGCCTTGGCGGCTTCGGGGCGGCGGCGAGCTCTTCCCAAGCGGATAGCTGCTCCGCCGAGGCTCCAGCTGCCCGTGGTCCAGACTAGCAGTGAGAATGCTCCTCACTCACTCTAGTGGCTGCATTTTGTAGCTTGTGGCTTGGCCGCGAGCCCACTTGGTCATGTGGTCATCGGGAGGGCTGGAGGGGGGACAGGAAGAGGGAGAGGGGGCGAGCCTCCCGCATCGCCCCCCTCCCAGCACGCACTCTGCAGCCCCGGCCAGGGCACTAGAGGAAACTTCGAGGTGGCCCCACAACAAAGGCTGCACTGCCGCTCCGACAACCCACAACCACTCTCCGGACAATGCCCGCCTGGCTGGGGACCAGAGGGTTTGGGAGACCTGAAGGATTTCAAACACAGGAAGCATTTTGGGTGGTGGACGGGCACACTTAACCCTTTCTCACCTGGTTTCCTGTCAAGGAACCTGGGTCCTCTGAGAAGGACCCGGCCCAGGCTGTCCCCACTCACTCGCAACATCTCTGACCATCTCTTTCCCCCTGCTGCTCTGCAGCAGCATGGGCTTGACCAAGACCTCCACACACTGGCCCTCCTCTCTCCTCTGCAACTTCAACTGGATTAGTGTTGGAAATGACTGCCCGGGCTTGTGTCAAAAACTTCTTCATTGCTCAGTGTCCCCAAGAGGCACCCTCTACCTGGAATGCCCCCACCCTGTCCATCCTGCCCCTGAGTTCTTCATTCTTGCAGTGGCACTTCAAACCCAGAAGACTTGCCAGGATAGCAATATTACAGGAGGGGCTACCTCTGTGTTCCTACTCACTGTTGGGACATGCAACAGCTCTTATGGTGTCCCTTTTCTTGTTCACCATCATTGAGAGAGGAGGGCTGTATACCCAACTCCAAACAGTCTAGACTGGATTCATTTTGCATGTCCTTGGCATTCCCCTTTGTAAGTGTGTCCTGAAGTTGTTTGCCTTCCCAAACTAGACCATGGTCTCCTATAGCCTGGGAGCTCTCAAGGGAAGGGACTACTTTGTTCACCAGACTGGGAAACCTCTAAGACAGGACCCTGTCTTCTCATTCTTGTGCATCTCTCTAAAGTCCCCAATATCGAACTCTGCACATAGGTGGCACTCAACACATGTTAAAAGCCTAAATTGAAAGATATTTCCACATTTCAGGCATTTTGCTTGAAATGCAAGTCCAGATTTAAACAAAAAATACATTGGACAGTGTGTATGTGTGTCATAAAAGATGTGAGAGAACACAATATATTTAAAATATGTTTAAAATGTTAAAACAATGCAGTACATACACTCCTTCCACTGTAATTGTCAGCTCTACAAGAGAGGAATCTTCACTGTGTTCGCAGCTGTATCCTCAGATCTAGAACAGTGCCTGGGACACGGTGCTCAATACATAATTTTGAATACATAAAATTTTCAAAAACATTCCTCTTGCCTAAATAAACATAGTGGGAAGAGAATAAAATAAGGTTCTTGTTAATAGTCTGTGGCCCATTAGCCACTGTCCAGTAGGAAATAGCCAAGACTTGAAGCAGAGCACCTCTTCATCTGAAGCTCAGACTGTGAGCAATGGGCATTAGTAGCATGAGATCATTTCCTCCTGCTGTCACTCTGGAAAAAGTCTTCCTGGCCTCTAGTCTCACCCTTATCTGCTGTAGGGCCATGCTATTGTCACCTAAATTTACCAGGTTTCATTGGGATTGATCATCTCCATCCTCCCCGCTTCACAGTTGCTATGGGATTAAATGAGATAATGTACCTGAGGGCACTATGCCAATAGTAATAAGCCACTGTAGAGTCACTTTTAGGAACCATGATGCTCCAAGCCCTGAATGAATAAGCCCATGCACCCCCAAATGAGTGCCCCTTATAACTAGGTTAATAGAAGCATTCATATGTAATCATATTTTTACTAGGATGTGTATGTGCTATTTGCTAAGTGGTTAGAGCTGTACTTTCCAATCCAGTAGATACTAACAACATTTAAAATAAAATAAAAACTTCATTTTATCAGTCCCACTGGCCACATTTCCATTGTTCAGTAGCCACATGTGGCTAGCGGCTATGGTATTGGATAGCATAGAATAGAACCTCCCAATCATTACAGAAAGTTCTATCAGACACCTCTGAGTTACAGTACTTCATTATTTCTTCTTCTTCTTCTTCTTCTTCTTCTTCTTTTGTAAATATATGCTATAACTAGATTAGCAAACTGCTGCCTGGTATAGAAAATTAAGCAGAATTTCATTAATGAAGAATAATTTGTATTTGACATATCGGTTTTTTGATAGATAAGTAGTTGTTTCTTATCTTAAGCAACATTTGAAAACAGTGTCCTTCTGTGTGAACTGAAAATATCCTCCAGAGTTTTTTGCATTATTAATTTATTTTGCA